TACTTGAAGATGAATTTAAGTAAACATGTATAAGAAAGATACACCTAATTCTGAAGCATGTGACTACAGAGATGGCTCAGGAGCTAAGAGCATTTGAGGGTCTGGAGATGTGACTTTGGTTCCTAGAATCCACATCAGGCAGTTTACAGCCACCTGCACTCCAGTTACATAGGATGCAACATCTCTCTCTCTCTCTCTCTCTCTCTCTCTCTCTCTCTCTCTCTCTCTCTCTCTCTCTCTCTCTCTCTCTCTCTCTCTCTCTCTCTCTCTCTCTTTCTCTCTCTCTCTCTTTCTACCTCATGCACATGATCCAACGAAGCAAGGAGATAAGAGTATAATGATGTGTTAAAACATCTGCTACCAGGTTATTAATTGGCGAGAACTGGAGCGATGTCTCAGCAGTTAAGAACACTCATTGGTCTTCTAGGGAATCTGGGGTCCATTCCCAGCACTGACCTGGGAGTTCACAACCATTTATAACACCTCTTCTACTCTCTGGGGGCTCCAGGAGCACTGCTTGCATGCGAAACACCCAAACACATAAAAGTAAAGTAAAAGATAAAAATCTAATTGATATTAATTCTTCTGAAGTTAAGCCCAGCCTTGCCATGAGGTCTCAGTCAGCATCCAGGCAGGGTTTTTCCTTATGTTTGTTTGTTGTTATAAACATTAACAAATTTATGCAGAAATTTTTTGGAAATAAAAAAATAAGACCTCAATTTTTCATTGAATTTGAGAAGGCTAGGTTGGGCGACTTATCTAAAAACTGACTCTATTAGCAAATCTTGATTTGCTGATTTATGGACAGAGGTAGTAGAATGGAATAGAGTCTAGAAATGCACTACACTGAGTAGCTAGTTTATTGTCTTAGTCAGAATGAATATTACTTTCTGTAAATGACATACTACAATAGATAGCCCAATTTTAAAAAAGAGAACTAGTAACATACATACATATGTAAAGGTTGAGTCACAGACTATCCGTATCTTTAGTAACATGTATATAGTTATATATTTACATGCTGTCTATTTACATATATGTGGAATTTTTAGGAATATTATATATAACATACATACATTTATTGAGAGCTAAAGGGCATACATCTAAACTTCAGGTTAAAGACATGCAATTCTTGTTGCAGAAAGTCCCCAACATCAAATACAAATAGATGCCAAGAGCTTTGCAGTGAACAGGCTACATATAAAACCACAGTTATATCAAGTATTTTAAAGGAAATTAAGGATTACCAGTTTAGTCAAACAAAGCCTTCCAAATATAAAGGAAAATGTTTTATTTCTAGCCTAGAAATCCTGTGATGAAGAAAGGGAGAGAAACACATTAGATTTAGACACTCAGGGAGGCCAGTCATAGAGAAACAAGGGGCAGTACCAATACTGTAGTTATAGAGTAAGCCAAACACTCCATAGGTTCTGACGAGTTGGAAGTACACCTGGCTGTGAGAAGGCACGAAGGGAGGGGGAGGCAGGGCAAAGACCTGAGAATGGGTTGAGATCAGAATGTTTACAATTATTATTAGGTGTTAGACATCTGTGGAGGGAGAAAGAGCACTGAGCACAATACTACAAAGAGGAGTTTTAAAAATGCAGTTTTTAAATAGGAAAACTAAAAAACTGTACAAGAACTGAAATGGAATCTGATTCAGCCATATAATAATATATTATGATTAATATCCCATTAATAATGGACATTTCCATTTTTATACTATTAATTTGAAATTGTCTTGTATCTTGAAATCAAAGGAAGCTTGAGAGAATGTTTATGGGGAATGAATCCTTACCGAAAGACAACATATCTTTTCTAACTCTGATGGACAAAGAAAAACATTATTTAATAGGACATAATCACTAGACATTGAAAAACATTGCTCTGGAGCTTATGATTAGATTGTGGGGCCAGACAAGTAGGGCTTATTGTGTTTCATTAACACCTCTTTAGTTTTGTTTGATTTTCTTTACATATGGTTGTGTGTGCCTGGTAAAAATAATTAAATTAAAAATAAGACAAACATGTTGCAGAGAAGACTCAGCGGTTAAGAGCACTTGCTGCTTTTCCCGAGGACTCAAGTTTGGGTCTCAGCACATCACCACGTGGAGGCTCACAATCACCACGTGTAACAGATGTTCCTACCTCAGACATACCTTCTTGTTCTCGTTCTAGCATCTTCTACTAAAGATTCCATTCTACACTACAGAACTGATCACAGCCTATAGTATATGGCTAGCAAATGGAGTCCCTGTCCTTACCGGACTGTAATATAAACATGAGGATCATGAGAATTTGCTCTGCACGGTGCATATCAGTTTCTGTTCTTTTTGATAAACATATACTCGATAAATGAGAGCAGTAAAAGAAAGGGTAGAATATTTCCAGAGCAACTTTCTTTGATATAGAATAGTATTCTAGTAAGACCTTTCAGAATCCAAAATCATCACCCATATTTGTTTTTTTAGTATAAGATGGAAATGAAGTTGAGTTTATACTTCTAAAACTCTATTTTAAAAGTTAGTTGCTGACATCCATATTGATCTTCCTGAGAACAGGATGGGGTGAAGAGGAAGGGCTACGGTTTTGGGAAATAATTCAATGACAAAACGGAAGAAGAATTAAAACACATGTGATTGGCTCCAAAAAAGAGAGAAGCTGGGAAATGAGCCAGCATCAGTAAAAAGTTATGACAGATAATGTTAACTTGACACTATATGAAATGACTAAGAACATTGTGAGGGTTCATCTACACTAGGTAAGCCGCGGAGCATGACTTGAAGGGTTACCTTAACTAGGTTATTCGAAGGGGGAAAGCTGGCCCCTAAAATTCCGTGGCACCACTTCCTCCTAGGCTTGGGTCCTTGACTGCATAAAAAGGAGAAAGAACGGTGAACACTGCTGCTCATTGCTCTCTGCTTCCTGGTTGTGGGGCCGTGTGACCACCTGCCACTTTAACTTCCCAGCCAGGATGGGTTGTAAACTGAAATAAATACCTTCTGTCACTGAGTTGCTTCTATCAGGGCATTTCATCACAGCAACAGAAAGGATACTCAGACAAATGTGTGTGTGTGTGTGTGTGTGTGTGTGTGTGTGTCTAGTAAGTTGGGGGGTTTACGGAGGTTAGAAGTCAAGAGCAATAGCACATATCCATACTTCAGTTAGGGCCACATGGTAGAAAGGATGCTGCTTAAATAACATGGAGAAAATAGGTTAAAATAAACAGAAAACAGTTGTCATAGAATCCAATGCCATAAAACTAACACCAGGAATGATGGAAGATGGCTGAACTGTTTCACAGTGCACTATACTTGCTACATAAAGTGTGTGACGAATATTAATTGGTTAGTAGACTTATTCAGTACAATGTCATCATTGTTTCTATTGTAATAGAAAATAAAAACCATGGTAGGTAGTGGTAGTGTCACATCTTACAATGTGTGTGTGTGTGTGTGTGTGTGTAGATACATATTATTTAACTGTTTTTGTCTAAAAATATTTTATTACGTTTTAATGCTCCCCTGGAAACTCTACACATGTATTAACAGCTGCTTTTCAGACATAGAACAATGAATACCTGGTTTTCAAAAGTAAAAATTTTCCCCCAGTATTTTTAAATGGCTTATCTTGCTTTAGATCACTTTTGTCTGAAATGCTTTATTAAATTTACATTATGAAAGAGTTGATTTTAATGTGTATGTGCATCAAATAGAATCCATGATTTGGGCTTTGATTCCAATCCTGATGGTCTTTGTTTTCCTACTCAGCAGTGGGAAGGTTAGGCAGCTTTGGGCACTTTTGCTTATTACAGTTCTGTGTTCTCTTGTGTCATCATCACCTAGGTTTGTAAGGTTGCTGGCAGTGCACATATTACTATGAAAAATGAGGCTGCCGTTTGTTCTCTGGGCAAAACTAAATGATTCCTTGGGGAGTCAAAGGAGATTAACTGGCCTGATTCACACTGTCATTCAGGGCTGAGGGCTCAGGCACCGACTACTTACTGGTGTCTCTTGTTCTGGATCCATTTCCAACCAAGAACCAAAGTCCTTCATGACAGCCTTATGGATGCTCCTATTTCAAAATAGCCCTTGGTCCATACAAGTTTTTCTTTCTATGAAATTTTCAAAGTTGTTCACTATAAACATCACAGTACATGTTTTAGTAACTGTATTGAGATAATGACTCCCTAACTATTAGGAGAAATTGCCTTCTATAATATAAGATGCTTTGGAAGGCACCATTACCATGGTAACTAAATATGTTAGGGCTCCAGTGGTTCCTGTTAATGGTCCTAGCTCACAGCACCACAGAAGGTAATTCTTGGTATCTCAAAGGCAGGATCTGCACAGAAGAACATATCCACTTGTTGCAATGTTCTTTTGTGTGAACAGTTACTACCCAGTGCAGAGACAGACAGACAGATAGACAGAGAGAGAGAGAGAGAGAGAGAGAGAGAGAGAGAGAGAGAGACGCCCTCCCTAATTATATCTGTAATTTTTTCAATGCTTAATTCTTTTTAATTTTCTTGGTACCCATGAATAATCTTTTTATTTAAAGTGACATTTTAAGCTGTTGCATTTTTAGTTTTTCTTCAGAAAATTCTCAGCTCTTACTGAAACTCATACACACACATTACTGTATATGCAGGCTAGTCCTGATCTATCTTTTAGTGAGTGAAACCTGGCATAATTGTGGAAAGGTTAATGTGTTAAGAGTCACATCATGTAAAATTGATCATCAGCCACTGAGCATGGGAACACAGTGAATACAGTCAGAGCATGAATTGATTCAGTATTTCCCCTGCTCCTGGAGGTGCGATCTTCCTATCTTCTTGCTGTCTTTCGTTTTAGTAGACAATTTATTGTTTTCACCTAATCTGGAGTGTGGAGGAGGAAGAGCTAAGCCTAAAGAGCATATGAATGTTTCTTCCAATTTATCACAAGCTGGCTGTTGATTTGCTGAAGTGAGGAGCACACTAACCCTGACTCTCTCCACAGTGGGTAAACCTCACAAGTGTAACTACTGTGGACGAAGCTACAAGCAGCGCAGCTCACTGGAGGAGCACAAGGAACGCTGTCACAACTATCTCCAGAATGTCAGCATGGAAGCTGCTGGGCAGGTCGTGAGTCACCATGGTGGGTAAAAAGCGCATTCGTGATTTTTGTTCCTTCCTATCCTGCTGTGTATAGTCCTTCTCATGGGTTAAGCCGTCCCATCTCCCTTTCTACAGTTTTCAACCACATTTACTTTGTCTGGGATTATCTTCCTCAGCAGTTGACATGAGCTGTTTTGGAACACACTATGAACAAGATTCTTGAGTTTCCGTGGCACTCCCAAATCAGTTCTGATAGCATGTGTTTGAATTAACACAGTAATGACAGCCAGCATTAGAGCTATGTTAGAAATGCCACAGGAAAGTACTGTTTAGTCTTCCATTGCATTTCTCTTTTGAAATGGTTCCACAGAAGTCTCTGAGTTCTCTGCGTGAATGCTGAGGGTGTTAGCATTATAGTTTCTCTCGGAGGTGCACAATCAGCTTGGAAATGTGCCAAATAATTTGGGAGGGGATTAGTAATTTTGCTTTGTACATATGCAAGAGACAACCCTGTCAGAAAACCTCTCAATACTAACAATACACTGTGGCGGTGTGGAATGGTTTCATACAAATAAAAACCAAAATACCTTATTGGTATTTTTGTGTTTTTTATTTTAAAAGGATTGACTAATACCAGATGGTATAATTTGCCTCAGTCACTTTTAAAATATAAATATTCATTGCCTTAGATATAGACAAATCAAAGATCCTTTATCAAATCTTAGTTTGTTTTACGTGTGTGTGTGTGTGTGTGTGTGTGTGAGTGAGTGTGTAGTATGTACTGTGGAAGTGCTTATTATACAGTTGGTTTTGATTTGAGATTTTGAGATTTTTTCATGATTTGAAATATTTTTGTTATTTTGCATAGTTTGAGTCCTTCCATAAAGAATAAATGTCAACTTAATGAATGAATGAGGATAACATAGGACCCAAAGTATGATAGGTATACAATTATGGGCCTTGGAATTTGATAAATCAGATCCAGCTATCTGGTGTTTGGATATGTTGGTCATAGGTATGCTTGTGGGAATTAAGCGTAATAGGTTATATAATGAATGCTTCCCAAGCAATTATTTTGCTATCATATCTTAAGGCACTAATACTAAGAAGCAGTGAATTGGCCATTCTCTTTAATGTTACAACTGTTTAGCACTGGAGGTTGCATTTACCTATTCAGAACATTGTTTTGTTTTAAACTGACGGTTCTCAACCTTCCTTATGCTACAACCCTTAATACAGTTCTTTGCGTTGTAGTGACCCCAAGTATAAAATTATTTTCATTGCTACTTCATGACTATAATTTTGCCACTTTTATGGATCTTAGTGTAAATGTTTTTTGAGATAGAGGTTTGCTTATGGAGTTGTGAGCCACAGATTGAGAACAACTGTTTTAAATTGTTGGTTTGCGGGCTGACTGGAGATAGAGGACTGGGGTAGCTTTAGTAGCATGCAAATACTCTCCAATGACATGTCATTGTGACATTAGTTTTCCATGTGATTTTTCCCCATTGCAATTCTGGCCTGTGGTTAGAGGACATATGCAAATTCTATTAATTTATTTCTCTATTCATTCATTTACAGAACTCTGAATTGCATGTCTGCCTGAATAAAAGCCAGAATTTTTCAAAACTTTGTCTTATTGTAGAGAAGATGTAAATATATACATATATAAATATATGTATATGGACCTATCCTAGAATTAGAATCGTGTATTATGGAGAGATAACTGTGTCTTCTAAATAGCTGGGGCTTGGTATTGTCACATTTGCCATATTTTTAGTCCTTCTCAAATATTGGCTCATTTAGGTAATGAACCTAAAACACAATAGGGATGAGCTTGAAAGAGACAAGGCAGGGCACTGGGGACAGCAGGACCAGGCCAGGGAGGAGTAAAGTGATGACAGGTTTTGGTGTTACAGGCTTTCACATTTGTTCTTAAATATTAAATAGTGCTTCAAGCACTCTCAGTACATGGTTAACACCATTTCATGCTGTGCTTACCTGGATTCATAGTAATAATCTGAGAGCAGTGTAAGCCTCCTTTTCCTTCCATGAACACATTTAATAGGGAAGGGCATTGAGTGTGAGGAAGCAAATGACAGATGCCCTTGCGATAGGGGGAGCAAAGGTGGAATGCTACTACAGCGGTTTATTGTCTCATGTACCAAGCTTGTCTTGCATCTCAGAAGTTCATATTTATTCCTTTTTTCTCTTTCTGACCTCTTACCTCTTCCCCTTTATGTTAGTGGTATGTATGAGTGGAGGGTTTTTTATCAGTATGGCTACCATCCACTCCATGTCTGACATAGTTATTTTTCTTAGCCTCTCTTTCGCAAAACTTGTTTGTTCCCACACTGGTTATTCATGGGAAGAAGGGTCTGAAGAAAGATGAGTGTTCTTCCACTTCACCCAGAAAAGACTATCAAACACTTGTTGTGGAACATTCTAGAAATAGAAAGATAAAAGGCTGCATTTTATATGCTTTTATTATATTAGTGGACAACCCAGGTTAAAAATAGCAAAATGAACTGAAGCAAATTCTGTAGTAGTGGCATCTGTGAAGTTCTCTGTGAGCACAGACACTTCGCTGATAGAGAAGTTGAGGCAATCTTCAGACATACTTAGCATCAGTGTAAGAATGAGAGGTGAGAAAGTCCACATAACTGACAGTTGACAGATTGTGTATTCCATGAAGAAAAGAGGTGTGTAGGTATCAAAGACCATTAGCAGATTATCCAAGTTAAATGAGAGAGGGACAGAAAGTAAGGCTAAAGTAGTGGGTTGGGAGGCAAGAGCACTGTATTCTGCTCAAGCCCAGAAGGCCATGGTTTGATTGATAGGAAGCCACTGGGTGATCAGTGTTAGTGGTCTAAAGGACAGTATCACCAATGTAGAGTGAGGTTTGATGTCTCGCCAGGTCAGGGGATAGTATGAGCAGAGTGGAGACGTGATGCCAAGGAAAGGGTGAAAAGGCAGTGGGGTGGGGCACGGAGGCATATTTAGGAAGAAAATCAAATGCTCTTATAAATATCAGTTGAATTGAAGATAAAAGAAATCTTCCTAGAATTTGAAAATTGGTGGTATTTGTGGATAAAAGAAGCAGTGTTGGAAATACTGTCATGGATATGTCTTTATAGTTTGTTCGTGTGATTAAATATGTTATGAAAAGATAAATACACTTTTATCCTCCATATTACTCCAAATACAGTGTAGATAAATGTCCTGTCATGCATGTAATTAATAAAATTGAGACATGAACTAACTAGAAAATTAGTTTTGACTTCTAAACAGTATAGATCCAGAAACAGTGTGTTAAAGTTGCACCACATTTATAAAAGCAAAATCTCAGATTATATAATTAAGTGAAAAAGTGTCAGGTCTTTTCTTCATGAACTTAGAAGGCTGTCAAGCTGTTTTATATGTCAGTATTCAAAATATGTCTACAAAAAAAGTTATAGCACAGTCCAGGTACTCCCTAAAGCCAGACTTCCCAGGATTAGCATTCTGACCTGCTAGTGATGCACAGAAAAAATTACTTCCAATCTTAGTATCTTCGATTCCCTGTCTGTAGAATGAAGAGCACCTGCCTTCCTGCAGTACTTGAAAGTATTGTAAAGATTATTAAATGTAAAGCCATGAAGGAGTACTTACTACCCAGTTTCTGTCCGTTATTATTATTGCCAATGCTGCAGAAACTTTGCCTTTTGGCATGAAGAGCTGCTGTGAAGTTGGCAATAGTGCAAACTCTGTTGTAGTCATTGTTTTCAGTTCACATGAGCTTCATTGAACTTGAGACAAGCCATCTGAGTTGAAGTGGATGTGGTGTGGGACAGTCCCCACCCAGGTTTCATTTTGAGTGTTAGGTGTGTGAAGACATGAAAATTCAGTGTAAAACCTAAAGCAAAACTGCCACACTTTGAACTACTCATTTCAGAACCAATTAGCATATTCAATTTGCAGGGCAAACCCCATCGACTGCTTTTGCTGCCTTTTTGGCAAAATTTACAACATTTTTTTTGTCTGCCACCAATATTTTTTATTCTGTGTCTGGGCTTGTGATACATATTTGTTCTTTGGTTCACACGTGGACTATTTTGTGGTTTTGTAGGCATATTTTGTTTTTGGAACAGACTCTTGGTACATATCCCAGGCTAACCTCCATAAGTCACCATGTCTGCATACAATTATTTTATTTGTTAATAAGTGCTTATAAATTTACTACCGGAAACACAAGGTCATAATGTACATCCCGCTGCCTATTTCCTCACCTCACCAATTCCATTATTTTAGCTTCCTGCCTCTAGACTCCCTTAGCTGAGTTCTGTGGTCATCTTGGTATTGTTTTTTGTTTGTTTTCCAAGTTATTTTTACAGTGGTTAAAAGATCACCTAATATCTTATGTAATGCTTTGGGAAGAATTTTCTTCTCAATACTATCATGAACAATATCAGAGTTTATGTCCATAATGTCCATATTTCTAATTCTCACATTTCCTTTTTTTTCCAAGCTGACAGGCAACAGTTACAAAATTCCTTATTTTTCAGATCCAGAGGGTACCTTTTTAGATGTAGAGTAAAATTTAACTTCTAGTCAACCACTAGGTTACCCAAATATTGATTGTTGATTTCTTTTAAAATGGTTGAGTGAAAAAAACTTTTTGATGATCTTTTTTCATTTCAAGATCAGCAACAGGTATTGATAATCAATAAGTCATGTGAAATGTGCTTTCATTTCATCTTTGCTTTAAAATGTTAATGTTCATCAGTTGGACACACCCCCCCGTAGATTAGAATGCATTCAGTTTCACACATAGGTCTGTCTTCTACAAATAAATGGATCTAGGTGAATCACTTTGTAGTGTATACTGAATAAGGACGGAGCACCTAGGAGATGGAGCCTTCTGCTCTCTTGTATGAGCACTAATGTTAATCACCCCATCTGATCTGTGTGGAATGTCATCCTCATCCTAGTTAAATATCCTGGACTGGATTCTTACTGAATAGTGGCTTTTTTGAGTCACTTGTCTATCCTTGTAATGTCTCTACTGAAGCCAACAGCTATTAAGGCATGTATAATGAATGGAGCCCATCAAATGAATCAGGGCAATAGTTCAGTGAGCCAATGTGCCAGTTTTTAGAAATAAACTACAGTGTACTGTCTACAGACAAGTGCAGAACCGAACCTCCAGCATGATCACATGCAGGTTGTGGTGCTGCTAGTAAGGTTAGGACCTCATCAAATAGAAATCAGCTGCAGGAAAATGTGTGGGGGAAGAGTCGCCTGCAGCTGCTAAGCCTTTCTGTAAAACAAGGTGGCATATGTAAATTATTTCAGAAAAATAAAGCCCCAAAAATCTCAGTAACAGTGCAGTCTAACGTATCATCAATTTTAATCTATACTAAACATATTTTTGAGGAATAAAATGAGAAAAATATCAGATGAGTGTATTGGTTGATGACCAGTACTAGCAACAATTCATTGCAGTGATCTGAGAGGCATTCAGATTCATAAAAATAAACTCTGTGTGTGTGTGTGAGAGAGAGAGAGAGAGAGAGAGAGAGAGAGAGAGAGAGAGAGAGAGAGATTAAAGAATATTCTTCAATACTGTGATTTACTTCCTTTATTTTGGTAGACAAACTTAATTTGTATAACACATATCAGGATAGCATACTTACCTGTGTCTCTCAAATGCTGAAGAAATCACCAGATTGCCTTTAAATGTGGTTTTTGTGTAGTACCGCCTATGGAAGATTGTAAGGAACAAGAGCCTATTATGGACAACAATATTTCTCTGGTGCCTTTCGAGAGACCTGCTGTCATAGAGAAGCTCACGGCAAATATGGGAAAGCGCAAAAGCTCCACTCCACAGAAGTTTGTGGGTAAGCAGCACGGAGGGATGACTTCATTACACATCTGGGGACTGCGACAGAAAAAGACATGATTCCATGTGTTAACATATAAGTGGTGTGTAAATATCCATGACTTTGCCTCATCATTCTCTCCCACTCTATGACCGACCATGTACATAACACACACACACACACACACACACACACACACACACACACACATGCGTGCGTGCGCGTGCACACACACAGCCTTAGACACATGGGAAAGTATTAAAGGATGATAGTAAGAAGCATATCAACATGGAATGATATATAAAGTGAGATTATATGTTAAAGCTAACATGTTATTTTAATTCATACTGAATAAGAGATGAGATCTGCACTACTGGCCACATTTGTGGTATCTTTTCATTTCTATTTTTGAATGTTTTAATTTCTAATATTAATTCTCTGATTATTTGATCTAGAATTAAAAAGCACTTCAAGTGTTCCCAAACTTTGCCTTCAAAAATTAATGTAGCAGTGTCCATCTAAAATGTTTCCTACATATACCTGTATTTTTTGTTTTTATCCCTTTTTTGTCATCCAGCCTATGACTTTTGAGCTGGAAAGATGAAAGACTGTCTATTTAGGCTTCATTTACCATTTCCAAGTCTTTAGGTATTCTGTGGTATGCCCAGTGTTGGCATCATTCTTCATCCAAGTTGTGTCTTTTGAATTATATCTGAGGACAAAGGGTCTTGCATTTGTTACAAAATGTGTGAATGGTAGAGTTTCAGTAGAATGTTAGAGAACCATTATTCTTTGTATATGTAACATATCTTTCCTTATAGTGATAAGGTGAAAAGACTAGGTAAAGCTATTAAAAGAGATTCTCACATTCTACTACTGGAGAACATGGAAGGGGAGCCTTACTAAGTAGTGGCTGGGAGCTAGCCTCTTTCTTGGTCATTTAGGGAAGCTAGGAGAATTCTGTTGCTCCAGTAAAACCTTTGAGAAGGTGTCTCTTGTATTATAATAGAGAACTGGCAAACTGTTGTCACATTAAGACGAGCAGAAGGGATTTAGTGAGCACTCAGAACACACACATTCTAAAGATCCTCTGCCACTTTTGAAATCTAAATCTTTCTGAAAAACACTCTTCCCATGATTTCTAGAACACTGTCTCTCCCCTTTTCTTCCATCTTCTCTGTTCCTCTTCATGCAGCTATACACACATGTGTAGAAGTCTGAAGAGTCACCTTACTAGATCTTGGGAAAGAGAACATAATTGCCCCATGGAAGACCCATTCTTGCCTCTTTTCATTTTCAAAACATCATACACACACACACACACACACATGTACACACTCCACATACATGCCCCCCAACTCTTAGGTGCCCCTCCATGTACATACAAGTTCTTTGCCTACTGGACCACACAAACAGCACACAAAATATCGGATGCTTTCTAAGGATTGGCCTAGGCACATGCCATCCCGAGCTCTGCTGGTGCAGAGTTTGTATGAACCCTAGAAACACTATTGAAGGATTTCTGGGATCCTTGTACAGAAAAGAATGCATGCTGCATTCTCTGGTCTTATAAAATCCTCATTCCATAAGGCCTTCTAGATATGCTGTAAAGGGTAGGAATCCAGCCTGGCTCTGTCTGCTGACATAAAAGAATTTTCCAAACACTCTTCTTGACCTTTTGTTCAGTTTACCGATGGCAGAGTGAGACTATCAGCTGCCATGCTTCTAGAGTTGCCCTCTATCAACACATATACATGTTACCCATGTGATCCTCAAACCGAAGTCATTCCCTTTTCTATCTTGGTGTCATCCACCCCATTTTTCAAGACTGAAAACTCAGCTTCACACGTCCCATTCTCCTTATCTATCTAGATAATCGCACGGGCCTAGTAACAGTGTTGGTTTAGTTGATGTCCATTCCATTAACCCTTCTCCATTTGTGCCATCACTACACAAGTCCAAGCATCTCACGACAGCAACTTTCTGCATCCTCTTGTTGAATGAGTATCATATCAAGCCATGCTCCTGCTTAAGCACGGCAAGCTGTAGTGCTCTCGGGATAAAGTCCCTCCCTCCCCTGCTGTGTGCCTCGTCCTCAGACTCATGTTAGTCATCTGTTTCCACTCTCCACCATGTTGAAATGTAATTGCTTATTTATAAGTCATACCCTCTTATTTCTAAGCCTTCCTGCCAGCAGCTCCACATCCATGCTTCTTTACTAGCCAATGCTTACCATACCATTCTCCACCCTAATGCCACTTCTTTCAAGAAGTCTTCCTTTACTCCTCTTATATGAGTTAAATAGGCCTCTTATTTGAGCACAAAATACCTGCCAAGCTGTCATTATCTAAACTGCAAGCTCTTTGAGAACATGAATCAGATTTATCTAGCTTAACTTTGAATTTTTTTAAGGCTTAATATCTTTTTTGTTGTTTATTTGTTTTGGCTATTCTGCTGGTTTGTTGTTGTTTGTTTTTCCCAAAACACCATTTCTCTATAACTCTGGCTGTCCTGGAACTGTGTAGACAGAGTCTGTAGTCTACACCATGCTGACCTTTAACTCAGAGATCCCTCTGCCTCTGCCTCCTATATGCTGGGATTAAAGGTGTGTGTCAAAACTTAAGTAACTTTTCAACTTTGTGAAAAGTATTTTTAATAATCCTTACTATATTTTAAGGTAGTTTTTAATTCCATTCATTTTATCAGGTAATACAGCTTTCAAACCATCTTAATAATGATTATTTACATTCTACTGCCTAACATATTGACTCTATAACTTTTTTTTTCTAAAGCACCAAATGAGTCAACTAAATTACTCCTGGCCAAGAGTGAAACAGCCTAGGCTATAACCAGATCCCCTATGCTCTCCTGGTCATTGTAGTTCATCCTGTGTTGCAATATGCAGAAATGAGCATAGTCTGAGTTATTTTCACCTAGCATTTATTCTTTCTCCTATAATCCTGAGCACCATGCAAATGAACATCTTAATAAAAATTAAAAATAAAAGACTTTCAGGCTGGATGCATTTCTGGGATTTCATTAGAGCAAGTGCAAACAACTTGTTACAAATTCTTTTTTTGCATAGTCATAGTACCTGTGCATCTCAACAGAATTAAAGGAGCCCAAACACATGACCTAAAGCATAAAATAGCACAATTTGTGTAAAATGGAGAAAGCGTTTAGTTAACTTTGTACCTTTTTATGTTTTGAATCCAATCATTAATTTTACTGTTTTTTCTTCCTCCTTTTTTTTTAAAATTTTTCATTTTAGGGGAAAAGCTGATGCGATTCAGCTACCCAGATATTCATTTTGATATGAACTTAACGTATGAGAAGGAGGCTGAGCTGATGCAGTCTCATATGATGGACCAAGCCATCAACAACGCAATCACCTACCTTGGAGCTGAGGCCCTTCACCCTCTGATGCAGCATGCACCAAGCACAATCGCCGAGGTGGCCCCAGTTATAAGCTCAGCTTATTCTCAGGTCTATCATCCCAACAGGATAGAGAGACCCATTAGCAGGGAAACATCTGATAGTCATGAAAACAACATGGATGGCCCCATCTCTCTCATCAGACCAAAGAGTCGACCCCAGGAAAGAGAGGCCTCTCCCAGCAATAGCTGCCTCGATTCTACTGACTCAGAGAGCAGCCACGATGACCACCAGTCCTACCAAGGAAACCCTGCCTTAAATCCCAAGAGGAAACAAAGCCCAGCTTACATGAAGGAGGATGTCAAGGCTTTGGATGCTACCAAGGCCACCAAGGGCTCTCTGAAGGACATCTATAAGGTTTTCAATGGAGAAGGAGAACAGATAAGGGCCTTCAAGTGTGAGCACTGCCGAGTCCTTTTCCTAGACCATGTCATGTACACCATTCACATGGGTTGCCATGGCTACCGGGACCCACTGGAATGCAACATCTGTGGCTACAGAAGCCAGGACCGTTACGAGTTTTCATCACACATTGTTCGAGGGGAGCACACATTCCACTAGGCCTTTTCATTCCAAAGGGGACCCCTATGAAGAACTGCACAGGAAGAAATAACTGCACTTACAGTCCCACCTATCCTCAGATGGTGACACACTTTCTCCTTAACGCTGTCACTGTCTCTAATTCTTATTTTGTGGACAACGTGTCATTTGCTCTGCCTAATTACATTAAGAAAGAAACAAGAGAAAAGGGATGGGATGTTCACTGATGCCATGGCTTGTTTATGTTGTGGGCCTCTAGAGTAGTTCGTTTCTGCCATGCATCCATATTAAGGCCTTCCATGCTTTGGGGAATCATTGGGTTCATAGAGATTCACCTAAAATATTCTGATTTGCCATTGATGTTCAGGATTGTGATGAAAGACAGGAAAGCTTAGAGTTTTCTGGGTAGGACTTTGGCAATTTGAAACGGTCTAAGTAATTTTATTCTCAAAGATGTTTCAAAATGTAAACCCATTTTATTTTCTGTCCTTAGAGATCATGGAACACAAACACATTGTTATTTTCAATAACTGCTAGGATGAGTTGACTTGTTGTGGGTTCTATGTTTACCTCCCCTATGGAATTTGTAATTCAGTATGTTTTACACTGTATCATATAGTAAAACTTTTAAACTACAGGTAGTTAAGGGCCACTGCAATACATCTGAGGTCCTTTGATCTTATTTTTCTAAACTTGCGCACTGTTTTTCCATAGTTTTGATGACTGGCATTTTATAGACACCCTGGCAGCCTTACTTTTAACACCTGTAACAAATAGTATTTTTATGTAGTTTTCAAAATAACATATGGCCTAAGAGTGGGTAAGAGGCAGTCAGTAATTTCCAGGAAGAATTCTGCTTTTCACAATTTGAGATTTTTTTCTTCTAAGTTGTAATGCGATGGCAGCCTAGTATACATATTTGTTTCTAAAGGTGTGTTTACGATCGTCACTTTATCATCATTTAATCAGTGTTAACCAGTCAGCAGAAAAGTGTCATTAGGCTAACAGTAGGGGGAAATCCCACTCTGAGAACCCTTTTCTGGTATTTTTCTTCAAGCTGTGACCACTCAGTGTTCTATCCATAGTCCATTCCTCTTGACTTTTGGAATAGAAGATCTTAAGAAGCCTGGCTACCGGCTGCTTCCTTCTAAATCTTGGAGCAGGTAATTGGACCTGGACATGGTCACTTGAACCCTGGAAGGTCATTCATTAACTAGGGCTATTTATTCCACTATTTCTTCAGTAATAACAGTACTACCTTTGCTGCAGACAAAAGGGAACTTCTTTGTAACCTTAATATCACACTGCAGGTCAAACAAAAGAGCAACAAAATTTTCTTTTACCCTTCTTGGAGTTGAGAAAGTGATAGTCTTCAGGTAAAGGTCCTGCACTTTAAAAAAAGATTTTAAAAAATCAACTCTGTAAGTCCTTGTCAGAAATGCATCACAATCCCTTAGTAGAGAATTTTCTGTTTTCTCTTTATTTGCACAGGGCATATACTTCCATGTTTCATGTGCAGGTTTTAAGTTGATCTCTCTGAGTGCTTGGCTTTTTCTGTGGAGTCTACTGGCATTTGTGAGTGGGATTGGAGCACACTGTTCTCAAGTCAATAGGGAGAATGCATTTGGCAGACATACCTTGCTGCTTGTGTTTCACTAAACTAGCATGACCATGATTGGATTATCTGATAGCCGTTTGCAAATGCTGAAGGTCTGCTAAACAGTAACAATAAGTGTTCCAACAGACCCTCGAATAGGATGCTGAAGCCATGGGACTGCGGTGTGACCTGGGTAGTATCAGGAACTATTTACTGATGAGCAAGCAGTGTTCTCTTAACTGGCTTTGCAAGTTTCCATCTGTTTGCTTGAAGAACTTTTTAGCTCTAACATAGCTAGAGCTAGGTAGAAAAATTCTGACTTAGCTCTTTGACTGATCTCTATCTTAGTTATTTCTGGACAAATGTCCAAATGGATCCCTTACTTGTAAGACAATGCACCAAAAGAGAGATATAGCAAATGCCAACTGCTTGGTTTTTCATTTTCTGGGTTTTTTTTGCATCCCTCAGTAATTTGTGAAAACACAATTTGCTCAGGGAGAAAGCGTCTTGTCAAGACAATTACCCCCAGTTACCCTGCACACTCTGAATCCTAATGGAATGGCATTTGTGTTTAAATGAGGTAAACAATGTTAAGGCTTATGATTTTGTGTTTTTACTGCAATTTAACAAAGCATTTGGATGTCTGTCCATGTGTTCATAATTCTGGCCCTGTGAATTTCTCTCTCCTCACACCTACTGTATTAACAATCATGATCTACCTGCCCTAGGATTAAACTGAGTTTAGGTGTACCTAAAGATTTGTGGACACCCCTTTTGAAGATGGTACTAGCATCTTCAAAAGGTAGTCCCTACCTTTCTAATTCCATCTTAGTGGAAAACCTGATTTAGTCAAAAGAATCAGCTATGAAGGTGTATCTGCTGTACATATACACCGGCAGTTTTTTTTTTTAAGATGCATGACTCAAGGTACAGAAAAAAAAAACAGATGGCTCAGGTGTGACAGGAACAAATGAGGACAAGGTGAATTCAAACTTTCATTGTATGTCCACAATGAATTTTGTGGACATAGTGCTGTTTGAGGGACTCTCAAAGACTTTTTCACCAAAGAGAATAGGTGACACGGTAGCATCCAAAAATAAATGTGAGGGCCAGATACCAAATAAATCAAATTTGCATTAACACTTACAAGCCCAGTTTATTTAGGTGAGATTTAACAGTGGAGAAAGTACTTGAGGGGCATGAAAATGGGTTACCCTCTGCGTTTTCCAGTTTGGCAGAGATTTATCAGATGATTCTGTCCTAATTTTGCCCAGACTTCTTCTTTTGTGGTCACCAGTTCTTTCTGCAGAAACACACTGCCTCTCTACTACTGAGATGAATTGCTGTTAGAAAGGCTTTCCAGAACAGTGACCAGCACCGTGAGAAGCAGAGAGAGGCACGAAGCACTATCATTCAAACATTCCTTTGAGAGTTTTCTGAAGAAACGGGCAAATGGGGGCTGACCGTTGAGATTTAGTTTGAAGGGGCCTGTCTGGACTGTTTTAATGCATTACAGTTTGCAGGCACATGTGTACCACACATTCTTTTAATGAAGATTTATGAAAAGAAGCGGTTAGCATCACCAGATGTGTTACAAAAGCTTAGAATTAAGAGTACAGTTAATACATCAGCACTTAGGTCTACTTTACCAGGTTGTATTAAGAAATCCCGAAGTTTTCAGTGTGTCTTTAGGGCTGGTGGCAACTTAAATCCCATTTTTCCATTATCTACATCTGTGGGTAGCGGTGGAGAGAGTTGACTGGTGAAAATGTAAAGAAATACAGATTTTTTTTGAGAGGAAGAAATGCAGGAAATGATTTAGCAACTTTGTCTTGTATTTGTGCTTTTTGTGTCACAGTTGTGTACTTCACAAAACCTTGACTTTTGTGTGTCTTACATTTTGACTTTGTATTTCTCAAGTCTTACTTCATCTTATCTCCAAAATGGTAAGTTATGGTAGAAAGATAGGCAGAGGAAGCCGTATTGGACCAGGAAAGCTGCCCCTAGATTCAGGACAGTGCCTAGACTATCAGGATATCTGACTACACATTTTTTAGCCCTGAATTATTCATCTATTATAAAATTGTATATTTGTGGTCATCATCAGTTATATTTCACGTTATTTTAACAAGTACTGCCTGTGTGTATTCTACAGTAAAAGCTCCCCATATTCAAAAGGGAAAAAAATAAAGCAAGGGGTAAATTTAAGCATTGTGTATATATAAAAGTTATTTTATGAATATTTTAGTCTTCCAGTTTCTGCAAAATAATTAAAATATACAGTAACTGGTCTCTTAAATTCTAAATTTAATGTATTAAATACTTAAAAATTTTGCATTGGTGCCTTTTAAATATTCATTGAGAGTGTTGGTGAGCTGTTTTAGCTATACCACACTTTTACTGTGTATTTTTAAAAAACACATAAAATTTAAATACTCTATAATTCACCTTTGTGTTCTTAGCAAAAGAAAAAAAGAAAAAGAAAGGAAAAACTGCTAAAAGAATTTCCAAACTTTCAGCTGAGCTGGCAAAAGTGACAAGAAAATTTGAAACCAGATTTTAATCTTTTTAGCTTAATAATATTTCTGAACACTATTATATGATAGAGAAGAAGTAGAAGGCAGAGTCACATGACAGCAGCAAATGGAATTATGCTGTGTTTTTGCTTTATTCTTGAGGAAGAATATGTTTGCATCACACAGGGTTTCTTTGTAGAATTTGGGGTCAATAATTATAGTATTGTTTTGCATTTCTTATACCCAACTAGTGTTAATCTAGTTTTGGATCCTCTGACATCTCACCAGTGGTTGGTTTATGAAATAATGTGGAAATACAGTGCATTGTTTCTCCTTGAACAAAACAAAACACAGCACTTATGTCATATATCCCTTCTTGGAAGTGTCACCTCAGATGTTTAGTACAGGGTTTGTCTGTCACTTTTAGCGTGTCTTCAACTATGACAGCAGTTAAAAAATGAGCTGCTGGTTGTATAAAGTAGACATCATGTGACCAAGAAGCTGTAATAATGCTAGTGTTTCCTTCTGTCCTAGTATACTCTTAAGCCAAATTAATGACACCTTGAATATTTTTACATTTATTACAGAGACCTAAAATTTTGGAATTTCCACAAGGTTTTTATGTAACATTCTATTTCTAGTGGCTTTGTGTTCTCTTGCTGTACTGTGAGTTTGTGGGTATTTTTTCATATGCACTCTTAGAAATGAGTTCTTAATTCTATTTACGGTGTCTTTCTCCCATAATACTCCATTTGTATATGTTCTGTACAAGTTTGTTATAAATTCACCTTTATCCATATAAACAGTGGTACATGAACTACTAGTTTCCTAAGGTGACTTTTATATTATGAATTAATATGAAAATTTAGAGGTCATATGCTAAATCACAGTAAGTACAGAATAAAAACTTCCTATGGGTACAAATAAGCCAGTTTGCAGTGAATCAGGCCTTCAGTTTACCTCACATAACACATAGTAAGGAAATCTTGAACAGATGGAGGCCACTGAATCCACTACTATGCACTTACTAGGATATCACTGAGTTTCATTTACTGGAAATGCATTTTGAAAGGGAATATACTTTAACTGTAATGAGAAAAGGAATATAGGTAGGGGTGGCTGATATTTGGTTGATGTTTTGTTCTTTTTGAAAAGTTGTTGAAATTACGAAACTGATCTAAAAAAGGTTTTGGCTGTGGAGCACTTGAGATTTTGTATGTCGGTCATGTGCCCCCTTCTGTATGACTAAGTTGGGTTTTCACCTCCTTGGTTGTCACTTTGTCTCACATCTTTGTCTTCGCTCTGTTCACAGCCCTTCCATCATTGTCTTTGGATGTCTTTCTTGATGCTCCTAAGAGTTGAAAGAGGGGAGTCAACTCTGAACCTCTGATCCATTAAGTCTTAAAAATTTTTTTGGTAGTTTTAATTAGCTCTATAATCTGCTGGTGTATTTTTATACTCAAGTGTAGTTTTGTATTTTTAAAGCTTGGTTGGGTTGCGATGGTAGCCTATCTAATTCTTATTTTGCTTTATTATTAAATATGAAGCACCTAACATGACTCCAGAGATTCTGCAGAGTACATGTCTGGTTCCTGTTTGCTTGTATTTTAAAGATAGATATCTGCCCCCCCCAACACTTAGAAAGAGGATAAAAATGTAGAGTCTTAACTTTCTTCCCCTTGCAGGGACAAGTGCTTTAGCAGTAATATTCCAGGCTCGGAGGGGGTCTCCTGGCCCTTTGCTTCCTCAAATTTTAGACCGGGTGTTATTTGCAGTTTCAGAAGGGTTACTTCCACTATCTACTTTAACAGATATTCTTTCTGTCCATAAAAGTGCAATATCCCTCTTGAAGTCTTAAAAACTATGGTACTTCTTTTTTTTTTTTTTTTTTTTGACATGTCTTCCTTTTGCCAATGACAAAAGGAAACCGCTGGAAATTATAACATGTCAAAGGACATAACAAGCAAAGATGAAAACCACTCCACTTTCAAAAGATTAGAAAATGTAGAAACAAATGGCTTCTCTGACTTTCTAGAAGCTTCTTTTAGCCTAAATAAACTTTGAAATCATGAGTGAGAAGTGTATCTTGTCTTGAAATCTGAACAGACTGGATTTTTTTTCTCCCAATCTTGCCTAATGCTCTTAAGTTAAGTAACTAATATTTAATGTTTTTATTTCTTGTCCTTTTCGAAAATAGCACTTCAGTCAGGTTTAAATCCATATTACCTGTTGAAGAAAAAACTTTAAATGTTTGAAGCAGACCTGTTTTCATGCAGATTGAGAAATATCTTTTGTGTCATCCATATTTATATGCAGTGTGCTCTTTTCTTATTTTTAATACCTGTGTTCCTGTAGTAAATCTGCTGTAGTGTAAATACATGTTTTGTTAAAAAGTTACCATTTCTTTGACATTTCTTTTGAAGGCATTTACTGCATTTGTACAGTATGTGTCTTGGCTACTTACCTTTTTTTTTCTTTAACAATACCAAAGGTAATTAGACTATTTTAAGGACTAATTGCTTGTCAGTTTCTAGAATACTTTGATTTTTTAGAAGAAAAAAGGAAAAAAATCAAACCAGTAAACCTCATTTTTTCAAACTAATAATTTGGGGAAATAAAAACTATTGTTTAAAAAAGAATATATATATAAATATCTGTAAAATTAAAATTCCAGACCTTGTGTGTCAGGTTTGCTCAGTGTAATGTAGGGTTTTTGTTTTTGTTTTGTTTTTAAGGCTCAAATACCTCAGAAAATGGGGTTTACTGTGGAAATATTGCAACAGTCTCTGCAGCTGTGTGAGCTGTCACTTTGCTGCATACTGATTGGGAGACCTCCACTAAACAGTTTTATCACTGCAGACTAAAATGTGGGACTTTTCTTTGTTTTTAATGCACACACATACACGCTATGTGCGTGTAAGTGGGTACTGTGTATATGTGTGTGAGTGTTGTATATGCATGTGTGAACGTGTGTATGTGTGTACAACTGAAGAAGCTGCAGAAACTTTGTAATACTTTGTGAAAGGGTTATATTATAAAGGTTTGTACTGTCTGAGTGCACAGCTACTGGAATAAATTTAGCCAATCTCAGGAACAAGCATATAATTTGTCCAAGATTTATTTCTTCTCAGAAGTGTAAGTGCAGTTTTTAATTCTGTATATTATTTAATATTTTACCAATAAAATAAACTTCTGACAGAAACTGTTTGGTATAAAAATTTTCTGTTGAAAATTTTGTACAAAAACCCATCGCGCCAGTCACTGAATTGTGAATAATGGTTTGGTCATTATCATTTTGTGTGTGTGTGTGTGTCTCAGTCCTGTCCCAGAGCACTGATGTGTGTCACCTCACAGTCTCCACCTTAATGACTAGCTGCTCCACCACACTTTGCAGAGTATCCTATGGCAGAGAAGAGGGTATCACATGTTTTGTCAAGTATGACATCTCTAGTCTTCAGATAATTCTCATGTAATCCTCTTTTTACCTTTAAAATCCATCTGAGATATCTCCTTGTCAAAATCTCACTTCAAAAAAGACATCAGTCAGAAGGAAAGAAAAGTGTAGCTTACTCCAGATTTCCATTGAGTAACACATGTGGTCCAAGCTTTGTCCAGTAATCATATTATAAAGCAGAATTTCTTAGTAGCCACAACAGAATAAAAATCATTTTAGAAATCATGGAGTGAGGCATAGGTTGATAGTAGCATTAAGTAGGTTCGATTGCTAACTATGCTTCGTGTAGCTCTATGCCTCATGCCTCAAATTCCATAAGGACTGTATCTTTTCCATGAGAAGATTGTTCTATTACAAAGATAATTCCCAAGTAGAAATCTAAAATGGTCCAGATGACTGAAAATTCATTTTACTTAGCTTCAGCTATCTGCTTTGCTCTTGTGCCAAGTGATAAAGTCCTACACACATTTGAGATAGTTGTTAAATTTTCATTGGTACATATTTACAGAATCTGTAGATATTTGCAATAGTTCTCAATGAATTCACTTCCATATGTCACACAGAATGAGAGATAGTACAAATTCAAATGAACATGTGTAACCTCGACCAGATCATCTTTCAAAATAGAAGCCTATGGCTGGAGATGGGTGAACGGGAAATAGCAAGCAGAAAAAAACTTACCAAATTACTACTAGTACTACGTTTAGGAAAGGCCTTTCTCATCCAAACTGTTAGGCTCTGGTTTATCTATTAATGAGAGCCAAATCTTTTTTAAAAAAATTGAATGTCCCTTATGCTCTTGAATTTCACTGAAATCCAGTGAGAAGCAAGATGACATCTTGATATACTAATACTTATCAACATGCTCAAGGTAAAGGTCCTGTCCTTCAGGAAAAGTCACTTGATGAAACAGTTTCATAGAGTGTTTTAACAATGCCCCTTCCTGTTGTCCCTGCCCTAAATGTCAACAAAACCCCATAGTAGCCCTAAGGGAAGTTCCCAGTGTTCTTTATTTTCAACTGAAATTTGACAGGCTTTCACAATGCCTAAGGGAGGTGTTTGCCTAAACTTTCTAATGGACAAAAAGGAAATAAAATCATTTGGAAACCCACAACCCCATGGGAAATTGGATAAAGTTAGGGGCAAATCCAAAGAGGTGCTCACTCTGAGAAAAGTCAACTTGACAGCATCAATTCTTCTTCCTGTGTCTTTTTTGTTTTTTTCTTTTTTTTTTTTTTTTTTTTTTTTTTGAGCCTGTCCTGGAACTCACTCTGTAGATCAAGCTGAACTCAAACTCACAGAGTTCTACCTGCCTCTGCTGGAATTAAAGGCGCACCACCACAGTCTGGCATGTATTTTACACCCCTGGACAATGTCTCCCATCAATACAATCGCTTTCAACTTCAGCTTTACCAGGCAAAATCCAAGCCCCTCAACAAAGTAAGAACAGATACTGCCCAAACTGGTGTTGAAATGTTTATTCTAGAAAGCCTTAGAAGAGCTGTTTGAACATGACTTCACACCATCCGGTATGTCGATGAAGAAGCAGGATATTTCAATTCTCCAAGAAGATCCAAAGGTAAAGGGGGAGTAAGGTAAGGGTGTTTGGGCTGCGCTGTGCTGCAGCTTAGGCAAGACTATGATAAAGGATGAGTGTTTTGTTCTGCTTAGTCCTCCTGATTTAACAGATGATGTTGGAGGTGGACTCAGCTGGCACTACCAAGAATTCTTAGTGAATAAATAGCTTAACGTGTAAGTAGGGATTGGCAACAGTGTCCAGATAATATCAATGACCTAGATCCAAGTATTGCTTCTGAGGATAAAAGCTTAAACGATTCTTATTCATGAAGACTTTTTTAATGATGCTAAAGTGTCCAATGCTAATATTGTTTTTAAAAATGAGCAGTAAGTAACTGCGGATATTTAGTTGACATAGTGAAGGTGGATGCGTACCTTGGAAATGAGATCTCCATAGCAGGAAATGAGTGGCTGTCTTTCTTTTCTTCTTTCCTTCTTTCCTTCTTTCTTTTCTTCTTTCCTTCTTTCTTTCTTTCTTTCTTTCCTTCTTTCTTTCTCCTTTCTTTCCTGTTTTCCCTTCTATCCCTCCCTTTTCTATTTATGTTTTTAACGTTTATTTTCTCTCTTCCTCTATGTGTCCCCAATCAATCTTGTTCTTGTATCATTTGTTGAATGTGTTCCAGGACCCTGTCACAACTTTAACTACTCTGAAATACAGTCTATTTCAGGGAGATGGCTTACTGGAATGGGAATATGCGTAGGTTATAACCAGATCCAATTTGGTAAGTGTGTAACAAATGAACACAACTATCGTGGACCTTTTCTAAGGCCCTTTCACATTACTCGTGGAAGTTTTATACTATCTGCTACTTAACTTTCACTTCATTGGCAAGGAAGCAGAGTTCAAGTCAATTATGATTTGTTTGTTCATCTTTTAAATATCCAAAATCAGTCACAAGACTAACCCTGACTCTAATTCTAGACACATTTAGTACAATATTTTCTTTCCTGAACCAATTTGCTCAGCATTTGATGGGTAAACTCCTTTAATAAAGGGAGGAAGCCAATGTTGCACAGTGGCAGCTAGCAAAATAGTAACAATAATAATCATCACAGAAATGCCGTAGTGTTCTGCACATTCTGATTTTTAAGCAGAGTGACCCCATTTGAACTCGTTGGCATCGCCAATGCAGAGGGTGAGGAGGGGTACTGAGCTGTAAAGAAAAAAATCTGAAATTAAATTTTTACTAAAGAAGATTTTGAAATTTTTAAAAAAAGATTTTAAGTTATCTAACAGTTTTTTAGCAGACCTTTCACTTAATTTTTACTAGTGTGTTTTTTTCTAATTGTCTTCAAAATTTCCTTCACAGTTGATTAATTTTCATTGAATTCCTACCCCCAAAGTCATTTTGTTTATTCTGTTAACACAAGACTTAAATTTCAATGCTTGTGCTTGGATGTCTTACTTGTTTTTATTTAAAAATCTTGAACCTAACATTGTTAAGAATGTGGGAATTCACCAGAAGCTGTGGCTACCAGAACCAAATATAGCAGTGTAGTTTGCAGCCTAGGCATTGTGGGTATTCCTCACAGAGTGTTAAAATCTCTCTACCAAGTACTAACCGTGCTGTTACCTTTAAAGCATAAAGTATACCAGTATCCACCTCCATCTGTCTGAATTATGAAGTGAATGATGTATTTATCATCCAATTCAGCCTCCTGTTATCTCTTCCTAGGAATGAGACATCTTCTGCCACATGGACGTTCAAGGCTTTGATCTGGAAATGGCTGCAGTCTTCCAGGAGGGTTGATCAAGCCATGCCTACCAAAGCATCTTCCTTGTCTTTTACAATCTAAGTAAGTAACCTCATTTTTTTGGCCTTCAAAGAGTCTATTCTTTATTTTTTTGACACCTCCCTGCACTGTTTACTTATTTATTTATTTATATCAGATTGTAATCTGCTTGCACATTACTGTTGTTTGCAAATACTCAAAGGGAATGAGGAAAAACTGGGACACGTTATGAGTCATGTTTTTCCAGACACTCGGCCAAATTGTCTTTTGATCATCCCGGCAAATGATAGTTTGGTTATACCATAACACCAATGTATTTTCCAAGCTACAAGCATACGCCCAAAGTTTTCTACTTTCTCCTTTAATGTTTTGGCAAGCCTTATTACAGCTGAGTAAAGGATAACATGGTCCTATAACAAGCATAAAAAGAAAAAACCTTCAACATATGTAAAGGGAAAAGAGCACCACCCCCCAGAAGAATTAAAGTCACTTTCCTAACAGAGAATGGATCGTTAAACATGACCTCCACAGAAATATACCTGTTACCTTTTTATTTTAGTTGATAATCTAATGCAAATATGATACCATCAGTTTAAACTACAGCATGCTAAAAAACAAACTGTTTCTGTCTTAATTATACTAATGTATTCTATTTTCTGAAATGTATGCAATGTCTGCATGAAAGATTCTTAGTTTTAATAAATGTTTATCTTGCTAACATGTTTTAATTCTTGCTAATTTATCCTAGTTCATAACTTCTTATTTATAAAATGCAGTAACTTTGGCATTGTATAAAAATTCTTTGACATGTCATTTGGGTTATTTTAATGATGTGATGTATTTTTCTTTTTCCTTATGAGCAATCTGTCTTAAGAATGTAAAGATATTCTACATGAATATGCTATATCATATATATATATATTTATATGATATATATGAAACTCAGATAAATCATGATGTAAATGTCCAATACAAATAAAGCCATTTAAGAAACTCCAGAAATGAAGAAGATAGTAAATAATAATTTCCTTTTCTGAAGTTATGTTTCATGTTAATACCAGCAAACCTTGTCAGCCACATTTTCAATGTGTTCATAACCCAAATAGGATACTTAGTCACCATAAACACATTAATAAGTAGCCCTGAGTAATGATCGTATCCCATGACATTTTGGTTAACTGAGTGTCATATACCAGCAATGGTATTCTGACATTCTGCTGATGGACTGTGAACATCAACCGTAATTCACCAGAACAGGGCAAAGGCATAACTATTGTCACCGGTATACTTGCTACTTCATTTAAAATATGTAGACTGTGGTTTCTGTTTAAGTGCTCTTTGTTCTGCAGCTCTCTGTGGGTTGAGTTAATAAATTATCCTTGTATTTCTCACGAGCAAATCCTTCTTCTGTTTTTCTTACTTTTAAGTTAAACTTG